GGGTCAGGATCATCAATATCACTGTCTTTCACCTCTACATCTTGTCCCACCAGAAGGTCTTCAGGGCAGTAAAACACATGGAGTTATTGTCTCCCATGGTAACAATACTGTCTTCTCAAATACCCCCTGAAGGACCTGCCTGAGGCTGTTTTACAGTTAACTTTTTTTTTAGTAAGTAGAAGTACACCACACATACTCACCATTAAATTGAAACTAATCAGTCAACACTTATGTGCACATGTGGAAATAATACTCATCGGAAATCCAGCAGGTGGGAGGGGAAAGGAGGGGATGGGTAAATTCACACCTAACGGGTACAATGCACATTGGTGATGGACACACTTACAACTGTGACTCAAATCATACAAAAGCAATTTAGGTAACCAAAACATTTGTATCCCTATAATATTCTGAAATTAAAAATATATATGTAAATTTTTTGAAAAAAGAAAGCAGTAGCAAGGTCTAGAGGGATAAAGCTAGAGCCAAACAATGGTCAGGGCAGAAGTGGATATGAAGTGGATATATTCAATTTGAGAATCATGGCACTCGTAAATCAACCTGATCTGCTAGATCAGGAATAAGTAAACGTGGACCCAATGGCCAGATGTGTTTTATCTCAGGCTGGCTCTGTCTGGAGGCATGCTGGCAGGGAAGAGGAAGAAGCCAGAATTAGGAGAGCTAAGCTGCTATGGGGGTGGCCCCTAAAAGTAGTATCTGAAGGATCGTGGAACTCTCTCAGGCTCCACGTGTACTAGCTTGGTTAAGAAAGTGCAGGCAGAAACTCTGGTAAGTGGGTCATATGAGCAGGAATGTCTAGGAGTGATGATGTCCACATTCAGATGAATGGCTCTTCTAGTTTAGAACAGGACCCAGGCAGTAGCTCGAAGTATGAGAAGCAAGGTACCACGACCCCAGGCATATGGGCTGATATTTAGGGAAGGTCTTTATCCAAGCAAGGGAAATGAGTTGTGATTCAAGGAAAAACAGGTCTGTCCAAACACAATAGGAATTTAGGAAGAAGGCTCACAGGCTTATAGCTACCTCCTTATTTCAAATCTCTCAACCTCCACCCCCACTCCCAACCAGGTGCTCTCATTGTTATGTTGATACAGATGCAAAGCAAGTTCAGGTTTCACCACTTTGCAGTTTCTTCCTAGCCTCCAGAGGAAATTCAAATGCTTAGCATGTACGATCTCAGCCCATGGTCCCCTCTATCCATGGTAACCTGTATATTCATTGAGTAGTGATTTTGCAATTGAAGCAAATTAGGCCATTGTCCATCTGCTGAATCTACTAGTCATTTTCTAGCCATGATGATCACATTAACTGCAACCCCAACAAGTGGGTGAGGGAGTCAGTGTTGCCAGTAGTACACCTTGGATGGATTTAGTAGAGTCATTCATTGTTGAGAGAATACCGTTATAGATGGTACTAGGGACCATATGGACTAATATGTTAAAATGTCTGCATACAATATATAAAGAGATTTTGGGAAGGTGTCTACAAGTGAAAAAGTGTGGTATAAGCTTAGTTTCCTGAGAAAGCATAGCAAAAAAGAGTCAGGGAAATAGAATACTGCTGATGTTTGCCAGCATTGATAAGGAAGAGGAAAACTAGTTTCTGACGTAAAGTTCTCAGGGAAATGAAACTTGGCATCCTACACTGATGCTTCAAGTTCTTCCTGGAGCTCGAATAAACATATAAGCTCAATGTATACCTTCCCACCAACTCATCAAATAACCTTTGCATCTGAAACTTGATTTCCTAAATGAGCTTCTTCACTAAGAGAGGGGGGTCCTGCGTGGACAAGGGGTCTGAGTACTCAGAAAAGTATAGCTGTCATCTTCTGTGATTCAAAAATGAAGAAATAAAAATATTAGAAATGTAGAGGTAGATAGGAGGAAAAGCAGCATGAAGAAAGTCCTGACCGCCCTTCCCCCAAATCTAGTGTGTGTGTGTGTGCGCGCGCGCACACACACACACACACACACACACACACACACAAAATTTGGGTGGACTGAGGAAACAGTTTCCAGATCTGCCAGGGTGAAGCTCACACCATAGAACAATGAAGTCACAGACAGATCTATGGGCCTCACCATTTTAGGATGACCACAAGGTCATCTGCATTGAGACTGAAGGTGGGATCAGGCTCTACTTCGGTAGTAAGGGGTCAGTGGACATCAGCAATAGTTTCTGTCTAGCCCTGGGAGTTACTTTGTAGCATCAACAGTTACTTCTGTGATCAGTGAACATGATGTAAAATCCATAAATAAAGAAGGGAATAAGTGATATGTTGTTTTTTTACTATATTTTTATATATAGAAAATATTTTTGAATAAGTGTTTTCCAGAGTTGTTTTTTTAAGAAAGTTATAGTTACCTTTAATGTAATTTTAACACAAGTAGCATCTGCCTTACTTCTTGTTTCCTGTATGTCTCCAGGAATTACCTCCTTATAATGGTTTTGGACTCTTTGAAGATTCTGCTCAGAATTGCTTTGTTCTCATTCCAAAAGCTCCAAAAACAAATGTTATTAAAATGCTGTTACATGATAACAAGGTGCTTCGTTATTTGGCTGCACTGGTGAGGCTAATTTTTATATACTAAGATCTTCTTCTGTCTCAGGACTGTGTGCAATTGTCCATTTTGTTTGTAAGCTTTAGAATACCAGCTTTCAGAGTTATATGTTTCCTCAACTAACCATTGGATCTAGTACCCAGCGTTCAGGCAGGTTGGATAGTATTAAGTATGGTGCCCATAAACCAAGACCTAGCTCAAGTCCTGTCTCCCCCAAGAATCTTTCTTGGATCATTCATCTCTCAGTCTCCTTAAATTTTGATAGACCTTTTTGCCTCTTTTATTAAGCAGTTATGAAATTCTGAGTTGTACTCAAACCATTGTGTATCTGTGAGCCTTTTGAGTATACTGTGATTTCCCTGAGGGTAGGGACCAGGTCTTACTAAATTTTAGCATTACCTGTGTTATCTAGCTTGACAAATCTTATATTAATTAAATGTAATAAATGGAATCATACCAATTTAATAGATACTGCCTTTGAGAAGTTATATGATGAGTAGTTAAGAGCATGAAGCTTGGAAATAGACATAAGTTCAAATCCCGCATATACCACTAATTAGCTGAATTACCTTAGGCAAATTACTGACAGAATTCAGAGGATAATGTCTTAAAAATGGAAAAAAAATGCAGAAATGGGAATATAAGCATTTTATTTAGAAATATGGACATAAAATTGCAAAAGTTGAGATAAGTTATTTCTGGGAATAGGAATTGGGAGTGGGGAGTGGAGGGTCAGTTGACTTTTCAAACTATATACATGTATTTGAAAAGATAAAAATTAAGTGAAGACATAACTGATTAATATATTTTAGAAAGCTATTGAACAAAGCTTTAAATAAAAAGGGAATTCTAACAAAATCTAGGCAAACCAGAATACTCTATTTCATAAGAATTCTGATTATGACGGTTTTACAATACTAAGTTATTTCGGTTACTTTTGAAATTCAGGAGACTTGTTGAATTATAATATGGTAACTGTAAACTCCTTGAGGGCAGAAATCATGTCTTTCTAGACTTTGTAGGCACTCAATAACTTTGTTGTGTGAGCAAATGAGTTTATTTATATATATACCATCCATGAGTAAGGTAATACAATATTTTACCCATTTTGTGTTTCAAAACATAAGAATCAAAGAGTCTACTTGGCTTGTCCCAGGTCCCAATGCTTCTTAAGCAGAGGCAGGACTAGAACTCAGCCTTCTGACTTTCAACCTAGTATTCTTTTGATCAAAAACCAATATAATGCTTAGGTCCAGGTGTGGTGGCTCACACCTGTAATCCTAGCACTCTGGGAGGCTGAGGAGGGCAGATCATTTGAGCCCAGGAGTTCAAGACCAGCCTGAGCAAGAGCAAGACCCCATGTCTACTAAAAAAATAGAAAGAAATTAGCTGGACAACTAAAAAAAA